ATTGCACAAGAACTGGGATTTTTCCCACTTAGTATACAGAGTGTGTTACAGGACTTTGTCTTTATAAAGCTGTATCTTGAAAGTTTTATTCCATGCATTTTTAATGAAGGAAACACTATATTTTGTTTGCATGTTGTGACACAGCAGAGTGATCCCTGGCATTGCAAAACACTACCTGTGTGATGTGGATATGCTAAATGAAAGCCTACACATTATTTCATCAGTTAGAATTTGGTATGAGGAAAATAAATGCATTTCTTGGGTGAATACCTTGGAAACAGGCATACAAATAACTGTGGAGAAGCCATAAAGGTATTATGGACGCCATTTCCCGTGTGCTAAAAAACATCACATGTAAAATGTAACTGCCAGATCAGACGAATTGCTGTTTAGCTCTGCCTACAAATACTGACCTATTAATTGGATTTCTCATCAGGAAGCTGTTCCAGTCTTCTAATTCCCCTAGCTACAGCCCATTTGATGCAGCAGTTGCTATGGTAACAGCTGTTTCAACATTTTAACCTATATAAATATTGCTGGATATAGTCTTCTTTGATAACACGGTTAACGTGTGTAACTATTACTCTTCACAAGAAAATTACTGTCAATATTAATAATCAGATCAAATAAATTTGCAAGAATTTGCGTGCAAGCCGGGGAGAGGCTGGTTGTATAAAGCAAGGCTGACACCTGCCGGCTCTTTCACTCAGATGCAAATGTGTTTTCATATGGGACACATCTTGCTTTATTTCAAATTGTCTTTTTAATTTTCTTTGCATCAAGAGAGTTTTGATTTTGTAGTATCATCCCATATTTCTTGTTTTGCCCTTTTTTTTTTCTGCAGGCTTGTGTCGTGGTTTAAACCCAGTCAGGCAACTCGTTCACTCACTTCCCCCACTTCTTGCCCTCCCCCTACTCCCAGAGGGACGAAGAGGAGAATCGAAAAGAATGCAACTCCCCCGGGTTGAGATAAGAACAGTTTAGTAACTAAGGTATAACACAAATCACTACTGCTACCACCAATGATAACAATGATAAAGGAAATAACAAGGGAAGAGAATACATCACCTCACCACCAGCCAACCGATAACTCGCCCCCCCCAGCCCCACCAAGCTCTGACCGATACCTCCTTCAACCCCCTGCAGTCTTGCAGCCCTTCCGGCTAACACCCAGTTACATCCTGGGCATGACGTGCTGTGGTATGGAATACCTCTTTAGCTAGCTTGGGTCAGGTGTCCTGTCTCTGCTTCCTCCCGGCTTTCCCTCCTCCCTGGCAGAGCATGAGGCTCACAAAGTCCTTGGCCAAACCAAAACATCATTGTTATCAGCTCTGTTCCCAAGCCGAAAGTCAAAACACTGCACTGCACCAGCTACCAAGAAGGAGAAAAATGACTGCTACTGCTGAACCCAGGACAGCTTGTGAACACTTCTATAGTGCTTATACGTCATATTACAAAATGTAAGCATATCCTCTGTAAAAACATGCACAGAATTGGGGCTTCCAATTCTGACTTCCCAGACTGCTCATTCATAAAGTTTGACATTTAGGACTAATTCAGTGGCATAAATTGGTTAGTTAGGCATGCTGATGATTCTGATTCAAGGGTGAATAAGGCTTTTTATATTCTTTTTAAAATACCGTTTGCAATTTTTTGCAGCAGATAATGAATGAATATGTAGCAGTCTCTTCCAGGCAGAACTTAAGTCTTATTAAGCATCATGCATATGGCCAGTGCTTTAAAATACCATAAATAAATCCAGCAGTAGGACATGCATAGATCCTGTGTGATGCCTATTCTTCTGACACTAGCAAGGGCACAGCAAAATGATGGGGGAACTGCAGGTGCACTGCAGCGCTGGTAATTCCTGAATGCGCTGTGCCTGTCAGCTCTCAAGGGCAGATGGAAAGTCCTAGTGTCATGGAAAGGATTTCTTCAATGACAAGTAGTTTGTACGTCTCCTTTGTGGGGGTATAGAATAAACTCCCTCTGTTTAGTTTGGTAGCTAATGTGAGAGAAAGAGAACAGAGCCTTAACTGCCCTCCCTTCTGCTCCACTTTCCTTTGAAAAGTGTTCTGCTGCTGGCATTATTAACTCTGAAACTCCCTATACAGCTGTGGACTGCAAGGACTGGCTCTCCTATGCAACCATGGAAGAGGCACAAAGGTTTCCTTGTGACCACTCATTTTTTTGTGTCCCCACAAAAGGCCAGTCACAATGTAGTATGCTGTTAATAGCTGAAGCACAAGATGTGGTAATGTAAATGAAGCCTGAGCAGCTGAAGCTAAGGTTTGGGGGAAACTGGGGCCTAAATGACTGTGCTTTATCTTCCTTATTGAGTCACTGCCACATGACTCCTTTAGCTTAATCCCTTCATAGGATTTTATGCAGAGGCGCTCTGTTCAGATGTTTCAACATGAATTCATTATATGCCATGTATGCTCAGATGTCCTTGTGTGTGAATATGACTTTGTTATTATTCTGTCCTCGAGTATATATTTCACCTGCCCATGTGAATACCGAGGTACTTTGCCAAAGTGCTTCATTGCAGGGCTGTACTTCCCACTCCTTGAGCTAACATTATGCTCTTCTCATTAGCATGTATGTAACTGCACTTTTTGGTTTAATAAGGAGTTATTAAGAATCAGCGAAATAGCAGTTTGGAAGCAAAGAAACTGAGCATTATTGAAGTTGTGCATGGAGTAGAAATGCAAAGAGCTCTGGCTTTTCAAAGAGAGGAGAGGTGCAGTGGTGGGGGGAGGGCCTGAGAAGTGTGTGCATGCCGTGAATATCCCTTCTGTTTGTTAGCTCTGCAGCAGTATCAAAGAAGCTCCTATCTGTGACAGGCAGACCTGACAGGCAGCATTATTTTTGCTGGTTTTATTCCTGCCTCATCTTCCATATGAAGTTCACAGATCCCAGTGTCAGGATAAAGTAGTACCAAGTAAGTGGTCTTAAGGGTCCTGCTCTTCTAGGGCTCAGGAGTCCAGGATGTGGGAACTACATGTAATTCACATTTTGCTGGCAGGGACTCTGAGATGAAAGTGAAATGTGAGATTTTTTTGTTAGAATATGTGAAGATTTAAACCTATTTCTAGATACAAAATATGGGCCCCTCCATAGAATTCTTAATTTGTGTTCTTTTCTGCGACAGCTTGACAAGGTGAGGGAACAGTAGTGCTTTAGGCTGATGCTATAGAGGCTGTGAAAAAAAGAAGGTAAGAATAAAGTCAGTTGTGTTGGTGCTGTGCAAAAATCCGGCTGAGTAAGTCTTCTACCATTGCTGAACAGTGCTGTTATAGGACACCTGACAGCCTCACCATGTTGGTTAGTATTTTCTGGCAAAGAATTTCTGTTCCTTACCTGATACATGCTGCTAGCCTGGATGTCTGTGACTCCTAAATTGGAGAGCTACTGTACAGATGTGTCTAGGGTGGTGAGAACCACAGTGAGTTATTATTGTTACTGGAGTGTGAGCATCTGGAGCTAACATGGTCTTATAGCACTGAAGTTGTAGTCCCCATTGCAAGGAATCATACGCAGCAAGGAGTCCCAGTTTTTGCAGTGTAAAGCAGGCTAGGAACTCAGGACAGAAATGTCAACCCAGAAGGAAGGTAGGCTAAAGTAGCTTCAAGATACTTTTGTGCTCCTTTAACCTTGAATTGCCTTGGGGTCTGGTGAAAGCTCTAGCATAATCTGTTTAGCTCAAACTGTGGTTCCTCTGCAGTTTCCTATGGGGATGTGAAATAGGATTACATGAAATAGATATGTCTTGGCTGAAATAGCCATAATGCTCTTCCTCTTGTCCCTGCTCCAAACTGTAGCATGCTCCTTAAACAAAACCTTGAGAAAGGATGTTAGGAAAGGGACTTATCAAATCCACGTTTCTGGGCATTCCTATTAGTGCTGGAGAGCAAATAATTAGGACAAATAATTCAAAACCACGACACCTGACTTTATATTAGGTCATTTTACTTTCTGGGAGTAGAAAGGACAGGGGGCCAGCAAATGACTCACTTTCATTACGGTGACTTCTGGTTCTGAGGACACCTCCCAGAAACATCACTGTAGTGGCAATGTTAAGTCCAGACTTCTGGAAACTTTCTCTTAAGAGCTCTCTGCTCTTGACAGGGTGCTAATGCTTCCCTCTCCACGCTCCTTGTGCCAAGCCGAAGTTGCATCTCATCATTCTGGTAATTTCGATGCAGGTCATCTTGGCAGCTGCTGAGTTAAAGGAGTGATAAGAGAGTTACATAGTCTTTTAGCTGCTTCCCACTGGGACAATTCTTGGTGTTTTTATCAAATGTCTGTTCCATAAGTTGGCTTACTTTAAGCAGCACAGCACAATACTAAAGGCCTTGAAAAGTTTTGTAAAGCAGTACATTTCAACACCTGGAGTTTGCTTGTGTAAAAACTAATTAAATGTCATTATACAGGTAGTAAGAAAATCAGGATTTGTCCTTGACCTGGTGACATGTCTGTTCCTCTTCACTTTTTAACAAGAATATGGCAACCGTGTTAAATGTTACACTTTCACAGTTATTAAATATTTGTCAATACTCCAATTGTTATGCAAATCATATGTCCTACTCATGTATTCATGCAGCATTTAAAATTGCAATTGCTGGATTATAACAGCCTTTATTATCATAACTGAATTTTTTACCTTGATTTAACTCAAAAGCCTTAATGCTCCATTAATGTATGGTACACTGGATATAAGACAGATGATGAGATTTGAATGCGCTCATATCTCTGTCTTTTCATCTCTATGCATATGAGTGGGATAGAAATATGGTTTTGAGGGCAACAAAAGTTGGAGGGATAACGGAGAGTAAAACAGTATTCAGAACTACTGATTTAGATGTTGAGGAAGGAAAATATTTATAAATTCAAGTATCCATGAAATCCAATGGTGTCAAAAAGACAATAAACACTGGCAGCAAAAGAGAAATAATTGTAATGCAACAATTTTGGAGTTGAGATTGTGATCTCACAGCAACTAATCTCATTCATTTCCAGTTAAATCAGCAGAAATAATTTTCCTTAGTGATACTGCAGATAGGCCTTGGTTCTCCATCTATAAAGATGTCTTTATCCTCTCTGTCTCTCTGTCCTCTTTGTCTTCCCTGAGGATGGAGAAAATATTCAAGAGGTAGGTTAGTGTCTATGTGAACTAAGACCACTTTGGGTTTGGGTTTTTTATTATTATTATTATTATTTTTATTTTAATTTTTTTTTTTTTTAAGCCTGACAATTCCTGGGCAGAATGGGAGAATCTGTAAATACTGGTAAAACTATTTCTGCTCTGCAAATCAGAGATGACAAGTGCTGTCTCATCTCCCTATGATGATTATGAGCTACACTAAAAATGATCAAACTGTAATTATATTACCTTTCTGAAAAATAATCTGAACTATCATAGAGGGAAACAAGATTATTTTGCATCTGTCCTTGCTAAGATTTTTCACTAGCCTGTAGCAGTTTGGACGGCCAACTTTATCCGTGTTCTCTTCTCACATTCAATGTTTTCATTTTTGTACCTTTAACTCTTGGAATGAAATCGAGGGACCATCCAGCAGTTTGACTAAGTTGCCATCTCCAGTGAACAGTGACTAGACTGTTTAGTGACTAGATCACTTCTAATACAAGGTAGCAGTAAGAACACAGCAGTTAGAGGAAAAGGTTTTAAGACAAGTCACTTAGTCTCCCTGAAATAATGTTTCCTTTTACCAAAGGGAGGCAGACCTGCCTTCTTCAAACCCTACCAGCAGACAATGTCCGATAAACTTACCTACGTATTTCTAGCTGTCTTTTCCAGGCAAAGAGATATTTATCAACTATTTATGTATTCAGAATTGCTTTAACTCTTGAGTTCATGGAGGACAATGTGTGGGCTCACTGGCAGGATGAGACAGTCCTCCTAGGGCTAGGGAACCTCCCATCACACAAGTGTTTACAAGTATGTACCTTGTCTTCTCACTGACTGTCCGCCTTGCTCCTTGTCTAAACACCATATTGTTTCAACCCCACATAATCACAGTGGCCTGTGTTTAATGCCATATCTAATGAGTACAAATCAGGGCAGTATTAACAGATTACTGCAGTGCACTGTCAGTTTGGTCAATACAAGTCATTCAGATAAACCAGATTTTTCTAAAAGATCAAGCTTGCCCACCCTTAAAGTTGTCTGTTTTTTTTTCAAGACATACCCTAAGAGTCTATTTTAAGATTCAAGGAGTGAAGATGACTCCTCATTTAATTTGTCTTCTCCTGGTAAGCTGGTGCATAGTACACAGATGGCAGACCTATAAGTAATTGCTTCAGTGCTCTTGTTCTGATTTTTTTTTCAGGCTTTTCTCAGTGATATTAGGACAGTTCTTGGTTTCCACTTTATTCTTTTGGGGTTTTGTACTGGGCTCATGACCGAAACACCAGAGTGACATGCAGTAGAGCATGGAGCAGCACAAGGAACAGCTGGTGTATGTGTGTTCTCTTACCCTTTCCTTGGGGGTATGAATATTTGCAGCCAAATGTTTTCATTTGGAATTATATTTAAAGTTATGCTAATAAGAGAGAAGTGAGGATAAAAGCGATTTGCTTGGTGTTCAGTGTATGAGCAGTGTGACTGGTTATGTCCTTATTTTCTTGCTTACCCCAAGCACTGAACAAGCCTCCAGGCATTACCTGTCTGCTTCACAGACAGGCTTTACTCTTTGCAGAGAATACGTTATGGATATTATGTCTTTGCTGCTCTAGGGGGAAAAAGCTGTTGTTTGGGTTTTTTTTTTAATGGAATAAGCTGAAGGAAAGCTCAACAAAAATAGAATTTCTCAGTCTCCAGACCCATAGATAGCTATTTTTCCAAGGAAAGTGGATGTTCCTAAGTACTGAGAAGTTGTGCTGCTATTTCAGCGAAGCCAGTGACAATTAGGCTTATCTACAGTACAACCTCTGTGTATGAAACAAAATGAAAATTGCACAGGAAGCAACACTGAGAACTGTTCTCTTGGAAATGAACTTTGGAGCCATTACATATTGTCCGTGGCATCCTTTTTGGAGCAGTAGAAATTAACCAGAAATGAGATTACTCTCATTTTATTCTCAGATACTTCTTTCTGTCAAAGGATATTTTCTAAGCTAAATCTTTTCTTTAATCAGGCAAAATTTGATTCCATTGTCCTTATGTTGTATCGCTATGGCAACACAACATGAAATGGTGCTTTGGGCTGACTGTCACCAGCTGCTTCCCCAACCATGTCCAGTAACTAGCCTCCACTATAGACTCTGCACTCCCTCGAGTGCAGGGTCCAGTGCCTCCTGTTGTCTCTAGCAATGCTATCTTAGCTCTGTGAAGGAGTCTGTGGTGAGTCAGAATACTACCATGGACATTTTGGCATGTTTATACTCCCACAGGTATTAGGGCAGAGCAGAGGACCTGTTAGTATACAGTAACAGGATGCAGCACAGAGCAGATGATCTCCAGGAGCTGTGGCACTCCTTGCACCATGAGGCCCCTGGCTCACAGAAGCAGAGGCATTACACTCACTAGCTCTAGTATGAGGAACAGCCCCACTACAGCAGCTGAGGCTTCACAGCTCAGCACTTACCTACAATTTTAGGCAAAGCAGTGGAAAAAATCTGCAGACATGCTGCTGTCATTGCTGGTGATGTACAGTTTATGCCTACCTGGACTGTAGTCATGCCTCTGTGTTGACTTAGCCCTCAAGACTTCAGGATTCCCAATGTCCCCTCTTGCCAGAGGAGTCGGTGTGCCCTCAGTGTGGAGTCAGCTCAGCCTGGCCCAATTTTACTTAGCCCTTAATAAATATGCTAGTAAACTATCTTTCTATTCTAGAAGGGTAAAAATGAGTCTTTCTGGAGCAAAGCTTTATCTCTAGCAGGATAATTATAGTGAATTATCTGGGGGTGCCATTCCAAGGCAGCAGTTCCCAGGCACTTGCTTTGAAGAATGTACCTCTGCAAATGTAAGAAGGATGATTTTTGGCAATCCACTATTGATTACAGAAAATTGTTAAATTCTAGTTTCACCCTCAAACATTTGTCTCTCTGCTGCCTTGTTTTGGAAGATGAAGCTTCACAGAAAAAGAACAGTAGGTCTTACTGATATTATCTCTATTTTACCTAACAGCTCATTTAACTCCGTCTTTGCCTGCCTCCCTCCCTTTCCCTTCCTTTCCTTGCTGCTGCTGGCAAGCTAATTAGGCTGCTCCCTCAAGAAAAATTAATCCAAGGCCATAATAGCCACATGAGGTGAAGCTAGGATAAAACTCTACACAGTATAACCTTATAAGTGCCCTCAGCTTTTCAGAATGTTTCCCTGCCTGCTTTCTTCTTATTGCTCACTTTGCAAGGAGGACTCTCTCATCCTGTGTTCTATGCAAGTATTGAGTAAATAAATTAAAAGAAATTATGATTTGTGTTTCCTGAAATATGCTGGTTTATTTTGCTTTATCCCTCGTATTTATACATTTTAAGTGCCGAATCATCAGCTTTGTCCAAAAAGCTCTCGTATATTTCTATATCTTCCCTTTTATAAATCCTTAACCTTCTGTTAGACTAATATTAAAATTCTTCAGACACAGAGTAGCAATGTTCATAATCTCCAGTTCATTATCTTAATTAGATCTGTCTTACATTATCCCCCAGTTTATTCTCATACTTTAAAGGTGATCAGCCTTAGAAGGGAATGTGAGCAGAATTTAGTGAATTCTATTGTGGCAGCATTTCCCTGATCTCACTTTGGATCTTTCAGGTGCAATAATGATAATGCTGCTGGTGTAGTTAATTAAAAATTGCATTTGAATGGTATGAATATTCATTTTGGGGAATGAACACAGGATTAACTCAAGGGGGTAAAATGTCTGCAGTGGCCCAAGGATGTGAAGTGAACCTGGATCCCCATTAAAACACAAATGAATCATTAAAAATGATGGAAATTTAAAGTCCTCCCACCCTGCAAACTATTAACAAAGTATTGCCTGGGTCAAGCCTATCTCCTAAGGTAGCAACAGACATTACTGTTCATCCTTCAGTAACAAATTATAAGACATATACTTGACATATGTCTCTGCCCAAGAGCTAATACCCAGTGCTAAATCTTCATTAAATAATTAAGAAGGGCTACTGGCTTTTTAAACTTCACAGGTTAAAGTGCTGTATCTGTAAAATTCAGGTTACTTTTAATAGCTTTCTGGGGAAGATCAAAATTACTTTCCCAGGAAGTGTTTGTGACATTCAGGATGCTGTTGGGGAGGATACAGACAAGAACTGCTGAGACCTTTGATAATGAAGCTCTCTATACCCAAATCATCTCTCTGGCAAAACTGAGGACTTTATATTCTGGTCAAGAATGTTGAAAATGTATCTTTTCTTTGTCTTGTTAATAGCACCACTGAAAATACCAAAGTGGTTTCCTTTTATTTCCTCAACATTTATTTGTTGTCATTTTTTTCTGAATAAGGGAAACATCAAATAATGAACAGATTTTCAAAGTTTATCTAGTACTGCAGGATGATTAAAAAAAACGGGACTACAAACTAGAGATAAAGCCTCTTTGGTGTCAAAACATTATGTGAAGTTTAATGGGCATTTGCCAGGGAATATTTTTCTGGCCGTTAGCTAGTTACCAGGGGTATTCACAGAATGCATGTTCTAGAATAAAATGCTCTGTGCATAAACTGGGGTCAGTTAAAGTAACTTGCATGCTGCTTTTGACTGGGGCACTGGGGTCCAGGCTTACTGTGCATTCAGAAATAAAGGCACTGATATGTCTCTTCTCCTTCCTCGCCCTGCATATGAGTTACTTCTAGTTTCAGGCCTGCTCTAGACATCTCCCTGGGAAAGCCCAAATTCACTCATTACTTATCCCACACAACACAGAATTTGGCCTTCATTGTGCAAGAAACAGAAGCAGGGTGTCTTATTGATCCAAGCTGGATCACCAAATAACGCTAAGGAGGCTTTTCACAGTAAGAATCCCTTCCTCCTATTCTCCTAAGTGAGGATAGATAGAAGTAGAAGGATTCTGGTAACTCACATGTTTTCTCATACTTCTTATACTGAAGAGGAGATATTGTCAGCCTTTCTCTAGGGAGGATGTAGTAGGGACATAGATAGTCTGAGTTAGTGGGGATCTCCCAACTAAGTTGCTCCTATTTGATCAAGTGGGATAAGACAAGTGAGTCCTGTCCTTGGCCTTGCAGGTGTTTGTATTCAAGAGGGCATCTTTTTCTAGTCCCACGTGGGTCCTTTGGAGTTGAGCTATAATTTGAAAATAGTATCGTAAGAGTAAATACAGGAAAGATTAAGAAGTAACAAAAATCTATTATCAGTATTTAACCTGATATTTAATTGCTATTAGCAGCATTATTTTCTGTATATTAGATAAAAGAAATGTGATAAATAACTCAGGGTCACTGTGTCTAGGTACAGCATACGTAAAGGCTACAAATCTTTGACTTATGGGGCACATTTAAGGCTCCTAACCACTGGTGAATAGCGTCATTGAAGATAATGTAGAGTATGTGTACCTGGTAGGCCTGATACAGTGACTACAGTGGATCTGCCCCCTCTAGAGTTTTAATTAGTTGACTCTGAATTGTCTTTGACATCTTAGTTTCCTTATACAGAGAAAATATCTGGGTGTTAGAACACTCAGCCCTTTATGAAATCAGATTCTTCAACATCTAAATACTACCAGAGAGCTGCTTAAAAAAAATCTCTACCATAGCACATTAGTGCAAATGTATGCCACGTGAAATCTCTGCTGAACAGAGTAACATGAGGACTTAATTTGGCCTGTTAATTAGACTTGAGAAGGAGATTGTGGCCAGACAGCAGCTGTGGGAAGAAAGAATGGATGAACTCAGACTTTTTTTTTTCATCTGGTCATGCTTTTCATCCTTGTTTAACTGTCTGGCAATTATTGTGCATATATTTTATTGTTCTTTAAAATTTATCCTGCAAGTGAATGCAGATAATGAAGAACTGCTGTTTCTTTCCTCCCCTATGGTTTCACACCCCTGTGAAGACCAGGATTAAGGCAATAGGGTACCTGGCCTTGCATTAATGCCAGATGTTTTCCTTGGGCTTTCTTTGGAGGAGTAATCACATCTATTTATTCATGGAATGTCATGGTGCTCAGTTCTGAGGAGGAGCATGCACTTGCCTTTTTACCATGCCTCTGTTTTGTGTAATTTTGTGGAGTCCAAGGGTCTATTATCTGATAGTTAGTCCCACTGATAGTGTGATTTAATAAGAGGAAAGAATGATATGGCTGCATCCTGCCCATTATGCCCTTAGGAAGAGACTTTTATTTGCTGTCAGATGTCACTGATGGAGCATTTGGCTTCCTTTCATCAAGTGACAATTGCAGTTTTAAGAGTACAGTATAGAGTGCCACTTTAAAGCCAAACATCTCAATTCACAAGTGAGGGAAGGATAAAGTTGTGCAGCTGGAGGATGCTATTTCTTCTCAGCAGCTGTCACTGAAAAGGCATGTGAATGCTCTAGATGTCAGGTGTCCTAAATGCTCCATCCAGAGTTTGTCACGTGCCTGGTAATGTCATGTGAAGTGTTGGAAAGAAGTTTCTGTACACATTAAAATTCTTCTCTAGGCAAGCTTGCCCTGGAATTTGCTATACTGAAATTTTAGAAAATAAGGAATTAATGTGAGATTTGTAGCAAGCTGTCCATATTTTTTTACCAGAGTCACAGAGCCTTTTTATGTCACTCAGATCAAAATGCTTGATTTCAGTAGGAAAAATGTCCATGACAAGTCCTCTGGCCTTGCCCCAACTCCCCAGATCCAAAGATGTACCTGCAAGGTGACATATTCATCTTCTAAAGACAGATGCATGTATGCAGTGGTGGCCACGAATTCAAATGGGGGTAAAAGAGTATTCCAATATAAGACAAGACTTTACAGTATAAGACTATAAACTGTAAGTTTTCCTTATATGCCTCTTCACCTTTTCTCTCCCTTCTTTACTGGTAGCTGACTTCATCAATGGGATAGAAAAAAAAAAAAAAAAAAGAAAGCTGAAAAGCTGAATAGCTGAAGCCATGAAGAGCATCCAGATCTTTTCACTTGATTCACACTCCTGTCTTCTTTTAACCGGTCCTTGCTTGGAGGAGTACAATGGTTGAGAGCTGATGTATGGAGGTGGCTGGGAACTCTGTCTATATGAAGGATCCCAAGTCTGAGGTGTGTGATTGGTACATTAGGTACCCGAGATTGCCCGTGGAGTGATGCCCATTTGCATATAGTTTGGTCTTCAGAAAGTAGATGGGTGCTGAGTTGCACTCATTTTGCCCCTCTCTTTCTGGAGTGTATTCAGTGTGATCTGTGCTTTATAGCCACTGCACTATCAACGTACAGGAGCACTTATAATGAATCAGTGAAGAAAAACTTGAACTTAGGAATTGTTTAGGTCTGATAGGTCTGGTGACAGCTGGGGCAGGAAAGGGTGAGGTTTGAATCTTATTTAGTGATGCGTTTGGCCTTGGACTCTGGTGTTAACATAAAGGTTTTCTGTAATGCCCTGTTCCTTTTTGGTTGTTGCTGGTTGGCTTTCTCTGTGTACCAGTTCTGTCAACTACTGAAATCAGAGTAT